TGTGAGATCTGTAAATCTGTCAAATGTAAGACTTTAGCACAGCCAGAATGAGATCATTTCCTCACTTGATCATGTGGGGCACAGAAACTTTAGAGTTCTCCTCAAAGACGCTGGTCATCAGGCCGTTACAGCGGATGTTATCGATGCACTGAAGTGGAAAGAAAACACACACACACACACACAAACACACACAAAACAAACAAGGATAAACGTTTCTTTTAGAAGATCAGCTAAAGTCCGCCATGGCAGCTCTGAGTTCCTCTGAGTCGGTCAGTACCTGGCTGATGTCGCTGGTCCAGGCAGCCTTCTCCTGGCGGGAAGGAGCCAGGAGAACAACGCAGAAGCTCTGACCATCAGGGGGCTCCACCACAATTTTAAACTCCAGGTGACTGAAGCCTTGACCTGCAGCGTTGTCTGAAACGCAACAGGAAACCAAAACACTTTCATTCTGCTCAGCTGAGCTGGGATTAACCTTGTATTGATCTGTAAACTGCCTAAATGGCTTTGTTGCATTTAATCAAAATTGTAAAAAAAAAAACCCAACATATTTTCTATTGTACCTATGAACTTTCTCATTGATATTTGTTGTTTTTTCTAGGTAGTGTTTCTTACAGTCCTTCTTCCGCCAAACTTTTTTCATTGTTGAATTCTGCAAAGTTTTCTTTGTAGAAATCTGACGTTCAGAGGTTAGGCAACCACTGGAATGAATTTTAATAATTAGTAAAGATTGCAGCAGGATACTCACAGTCTTCATCACTGGCATCTAGTTCCTCAATCAGAGTGCACTCAATCAGAGACAGAGTTCCTCCCTGCTGTTAGGAAGAAAGATAACAAATTAAATATTAAATTAAAGCCTTCCCAGTGAAAGATATTGGACACAAATCTAGACTCAACAGAAAGACTTTATTTTTAATCTTATTATGCCAGAACAAATATTTTCTGTCATAATTATGAGGGAATTTTGTAGATCTAGTTGTGCCTTCAAGGTCTAATACAAATATATTATTTATATGACTTATCCCCTAGTGTACAGGGGTATGTTCTGAACAGATTTAAGCTGACCAAAACTGTATTAAGACAATTTCAGATTAGCAGGAGAGATTGAATGTCTTTAGTTTTCAGATTTGTAAAATGCAAAGCAGGATTTGTCGCACTTCCATTACACAGATTTTTGTCTATATTCTGCTAATGTCGAAAAAACACAATTTTTGGAATTGTTTCCATTCAAGTGACTAAAGTCATGGCAACAGCTGAAGTAAACAGTTACATGGGATATATTCATAATTCAGCCATGACGCTAACACACGTCACCTATCACCCAATCAGAGAAGACGTCAGCATCTTATTCAGTAGTTTGAGCGACAAGCCACGCCTACTCAGGAGCGGCTACTATGCGTCATTTTGGAGAAATTGTAATAGGTGATTTTACAGAAGAGTTATGGATTTAACATGTTGGAATGACACTCAACTGATGCTGTGAGAGCTCTGAACAACATCTGAAAAAAAAAAAAATCAGAAACAATCCATTTTGTTTTTGCCAGTAGTAACATCCAGCTGCTGATCATGTGACTTGTGTGATGTGAAAAAGGTGTTTCCATTGCAGTTCTGCAACACACATCTACTTCGATACGGCCGAAAAGCAATCTCATCATTTTTATTTTAAACAATGATTTTTTTTTTCGAAATGCCATGTTTCCATTAAGCTGATTTATTTTCATAATTTCAATTTACACAATTTTATGGTTAATGGAAACACAGTGTATGTCTTCACAGGCCTGTCATTTTTGCAAAACCTGTAACTCTAGAGTCTGTGTAGAAACTGCTGAACTTGAAAACACTCAGATTGTAGATAAAGAGACGTTTTACCTTCAGCAGGTGCAGCTTCCCTCCAGAGGTCCGTGTACAGATGAGGAAGTGCTTGGTGAACAGGAAACACTGCCTCTCTCCTTCCTTCCTCAGTGAGAGCGAACCCAGACGCACCTTACTGAGCATGCCCCGTTCGCTGCTGGACGGCAGCTGGATGAGAGAACCTGATCGTGGAGGAGAGAAGTCGTGAAAGAGTGCAGGAAGGTGGGACGGCTGAACGAAAGCTGAGAAAGCAGGAAGGCTACCTTGTCTGACGAAGGTCTGGCTGGTGTCTAACAAAATGTCGCAGCCTTCAACGATCATCCTTTCAATGGCCAGATTCTTCCTGATGTTCTCTGTGTCGCTCACCTCGTC